TCTTAGACAAACAATCCTAGAGGAAAAAAAAGAAGAAGGTTAGGAAAAGAAATCACTGGAGGCGTATACGGATGATTGAATACATTTGCTGTTTATTTCAATTTTTATATTCAGTGCGTTTATCTCATTATAATAGTGGAGGTTCAATAAGAGACACTTATTCGATGAACTATGACGCATGCGGGAAGTATCAATCGGTTTTATCGTGTATACCTTCAATATTAGCTTTAAAAATAAACTGCTGGGAATGCGATTCAAATTTAAGGAAATTAAGAAAAACAAAACAACTTTAAAACCCCAGTTCGCCGAGGTCTTTCACTGGGAGTTTCTTGTTGATCCTCACGTTTATTAGATTTATTCGCTCGACGAAATCATGCATAAATCATTTTGTTAAGTGAAAAATTAGATAAAGTAATGTCAGGGCGGTTCAAAGGGAAAAGTGTGACCCCTTGAACAAGTAGTCAACCATGTGAAATTCAAGTGATTTAATTTCGAGGCTCGTGAGAACCTCTTGTACTTAAGTGTTGTATTTTGAGTTCGTGGAGCATCAGTGGGACATCTTGCATGTGCAGAGTTTTCTTGTGGTTGAATAACTCAAGAGGCTCGTGACAGTATATTTTGAAGCTTGTTTGCATATATGGCCTTGTTGGACTTGGAAGAGGACTTCGGAGAAGTTTCTAAAGAACCCTTAAAAAAAGGGGGGAGTCACCCACTCATTGGCGACCACGATCAATAATAAGTGCGCAGTGCAGTTTTCCTTTTTTGTTTGTTTTCCCTCTCTTCGTCATCAGCAAACTTCCTATAGGCGGCTTGAGCTGCGACGAGGTTCCGAAAGGTGTTCGCATATGTATATATATATCACGTAATCAGAGGTTGGCAACCTTTTTAGGCCACAGTTAATGATGCCGATTATTAGCGTCGATCAGATTACAAAGGGACTTTTCCCCAAAAGTATGTCATGCTTCGTCCTAATTCTTGGCGCCTTTGAATTTCACTGGATCAGTGCTTCATTCGATCGTCGTTGAATTTAGTCAAATCGTAAACTTCGGCAAGATTGGATAATGAAAAAATCGATGAAGAAACGGTTTTGGCGCTTTCAGTATAGCAATAAAAGGAGACATACGCTGATGGTTTGATGAATTGTAACTACTGAACTTTTTTTTTTCTGCAACAAAAAATAGAAATGTGCGTAGTTTTTGAGGAATTAAAGAAATTCGAACTACTGCATATCGATTTAGAATATATTTAGAATGGCAGACCTTTCCGCAAGAAAGTTACCTCGAATTTTCTTTTCCGGTGAACACATGCGCTTGATTTATGAAGCTAGCTTTTTCTAGCAATGTTTCAGTTAATTAATGGAAATATCTTCAATCGTTACACAAACTTTGTGTGGATGATAATCATTTTTCTCTCGTTAAAAAATAAGGTGGTGGAACATGGTCTTTTCCCAGAAATATTCAAAGCTTATCCTTGTTTATAGAACGCTCATTATTTGACGGAAATTTCCGGCTTTTGAAACCCTAGTCTCAACACAAATTTCCGTGACTTCTATAAATATTAGTGAAATTGTTTCTAACTTTTATTGGATGTCATTGTGACCAGGCAGGTGCTTTGAAAATTGGTATTGATTTTTTAAAAAATCGAAAATGTTGATGTAAATCATGCATCTGATCTAATTGCTTTCATTTCACCCAAAAAAAAAGAGCATGTAGACAAAATAATCATCCTCAAAAGATGTAGCTGCATACTCCTTTTGCACATAATGAATTGTTGATCTTACAAGTTGAACAAAAAGATGTTCAAATGTTTGATTGGAACATAAAATCCGGAATTCACGACAGGATAATTTGAATTTTTAAAGTTTTAATTCTATATGGCTCTTGAAAAACCCGCGGAAAATTTTCTCGATCTATAATCAATAATACAGTATTTCGTTAGAAGAAACTCTTATCATGGTTTACTTCCACTCCATAACATAATAAAAATGAGGAACTGGCAATTCTGTAACTAAAAATCTTGATAATCTACGTAGCCTTGAGTTTTTTTCATCACCTCTATATATATACACCTAATGCTTTTTTTTTAAACCAAAAACGGAATTCAATCATCTATCTATTCTATAGCTTCGACTAATTGCCTTGTGGATTTATACAACATGATGAGCTATGATCCCATTTTCCAGGAATGTGAATGAGCAACAACAAAATGAAAACACAGCATGCGTGAATGCGTCTTCCATTCCGCTGAGAATGCCCGATCTTGTCGCACTATACGATGCATCCCACGACCAGCACTACAATCCTCAAGTGGGCTATAAACAAACATACACAAATGGTCTCACCCAACCATAAAACATGTGCTTCGGGTCCCATGAAACCAAACAACCGCTTTACTGTCTCGTAAAACGGACATGTGCGACCAATCGCCCCATTTGCAACATCAGGGGGGCACCCATCTGAATAGGAACCTAAAGCGGTTTCACTTGTCAGAACCATGAATGACTATACTGGAATCCTCAACTGGAACTCCAATAGAAGATGGCATAATAACGGAGCATCGACTTTCGTGTAGTTTACAGATCTGTATAAACACTGTGTACATCGTTCCACAAAACAGTTGAGTCTGGCCATGAAATAAACCAGCACGACACTATTTTTAGATACCGCAGTAAATGTCAGCCATAATCCGAAAAATAAGCCCTGATCACTCAATTGGAATTTAATTGTGGGAAAAGATTTCTGTCCTCCGCGTGAAACAAGATTATTTGACAAATAAAATGGAAAATGTATTTCAATAAAACTTGAGACAAGACAACCATTTGCCGCAAAATAATCAGAGAGACTGTGTTCAAAATGGGGTCAAAATCGTGGAAGGAGGGATAATTGCGCAATTTGAAAAACCTACTTTGTGGGTTTTTCCGCTTGTATGATAAATATTATTATAGGTAAATCGGTATAGTTGAAAGAGTGGGACAACAGTATTTAGGATGTGGCGTGGGGCGACTATACCTTACACCATGTACCACTCTAATATCCTGTCTCATTTGCCGAAAAAAAATTTCCCTCTGGGCACGGTATTTTCCAAGATGATAATTCTCCAGGAGGTGGGACCTGATGAATGCTTGTGTGAAAATTCAGTTCACCCTAAACCACAATTAATCGGTTCCTGGGTGATTTCTTTTTTGTATGTGTTTCCCTGATGTTGCCCACCCCATAGGAACATAGCCATGCATTCATGGAAGTGCAAATGGAAGCGACTGGTGTGTGACGTCGCCACGTTATCGCAGGCACGGCACTTGCATAGCACTTCCCGAATGATGATCCGGACAGCGCTTGTCACGCATGCCTCACCCGCATTTGTTCTCCTCTTGTCTCGTCGTGCGAAAACCGTGACACCTGCCCTTATATATTCTTTCCCCCTTTTTTTCAAACACACTCTTGTATTTTTTAAATACTTATTATCATCATTTTTATACCGGCGGAGTCTCGAGCGTCGAAAAGGCAGCAACTAGCTGCCAGTGCTCGAAAGTCTGCGTGTCGCGTGAGCGTGGGTTGGAAAAAAATGTTTTGCGAGGGAAAAGGTCGCGAGAAATACAAAGAATGTCAACGAACATTTGAAAAAAATGATGTACTACTAATTGCCAGAAAGTTCCATCAATTTTTCATTACTTTTCTAAAGATGTTACAAAATTTATCCGTGATACCGGCCCCAGAATCATCTAATAGAGGAATTTTGTTCCGGTTTCAATTACTATACTTCAACCTCTCTCTCCCTTCCTCTATACATTTGACAACAATTTTTCTAACCTTTGATTTCTTCCTCATACTCAAAATTGTTCCATAAAACAAGCGCATTTAGGAGTACATTATCGGATTTCATTTGAGGGCAGGCTAAGGAAAAATGTGACCGACGTTTATGTGTTATTGTGCATTGATTTTTTATTTGAACATTTTTCTCAGCTCTCTCGATTCAAAACTAGAGGAACTTTTAGAAAAGCCCAATGTTTTAACTCCGCAAACTTGAAATTGTCGATCCGACAATTTCACTGGAATAGTTCATGCATAATCTGCAGATTGTTGACGACTGGAAGAAGTGTGTGGTCATTTCACAAGACCCTTGGTCACATCATCAACACATTCCAAATTACGCATAAATGAAAATAAAAGTGAAATTGGGTGGGCAGAACATTTCAAAAATTGTGCGCAATACATCGAGAATTGTTTTGCCAATCCTTCAAAAAGATCTGATCATTATAACTGCCTGATGAAATACTGCGTGAAAATTTAGAGAACCCACGGATATCAGTGCAAATCGCAACCCGGGGTTTCTTTTTCATTGTAATGCTTTCCCTCATAAGTATTTATACTAGAGTTGATTAAAAAGTTCCGTGACAGTTTTTCCTCCAACGCAACTCGCAAGTGATAACAGTTCAAAATTTAGAAATTCTTCGGGTTTCGATGAATGGTTGGACTTTCTGGTATAGTTCGGGTTCCCAAAGTGATGCATATACGCACATGCAGCCATATAAGGGAAAAGTTTTTAGCAAACTTTTCCTGCCTCTAGGTTTGTTCTCAAGAGGGTTCGGTAATGAGGATCCCCCTGGAGTGCTGGATCGCGTGCTAGTTTCTTGCACAAGCCCTTTATTTTTTCTAAGAAAATGTTTACTTGTTGAGGAAATCAGCGATGACATGGGTTGTGCGCAATAACAGAGGCCTAATACCCGGGCATTACGCGGAAACTACAATCATTAATATTAGGTCGTATAAAAGATGGTTGCTCGGCAGGTCGGTTNAGGTTTGTTCTCAAGAGGGTTCGGTAATGAGGATCCCCCTGGAGTGCTGGATCGCGTGCTAGTTTCTTGCACAAGCCCTTTATTTTTTCTAAGAAAATGTTTACTTGTTGAGGAAATCAGCGATGACATGGGTTGTGCGCAATAACAGAGGCCTAATACCCGGGCATTACGCGGAAACTACAATCATTAATATTAGGTCGTATAAAAGATGGTTGCTCGGCAGGTCGGTTCACGCCTCCTTCCTGACCTCGCAGGACCCATTCTGTCAGCAGTGTATAAATCAGGACGAACGAAAATAATTGCGAGCTGCTTGGGTTCACTATATAAACGCGTGCAATTTTGAACGTGTACTATAGGAAGAAACATTCTTCGAAGAAAATTCTACTAATTTTTATATTGGACCTAGCGAATTCTCATTTCTAAAAAGCGTGTATATTTCCATCAATGCTTTTCATTTATCTTTAAGTTATTCCGTCAGTCGTATGAAAAAACTGATTTTGAATGCGTATTGCACATGTCGCATTTGTGCGAGGAAAAATGTTTACAAAAGGATTTGTGGACCTATTGATAAGAGCTATCTCCGTTCTCACTACATTTTCCATTTGATCAGGACTACAAATAAAATTCCAAAAAATTATTCGAAAATCAAGAATATTTCAATACGATCAGCTATTTGAAAAAAACAAAACAAAAATGTTGTCAGTCGGTCTATCTTTTAATGGCATGAAAATTAATTAGAAGGTACCATGGCCGATTAAAAAATTCAATTTGTTGAATTTTAGTCCTGTATATTCGGTCTTTTAAAAATCAGAGACAAATGAATGTTTTTTCTCGAATGCAGTAATACAGTAATCAGAATTTGCGGTTCCTTAATTTATCAGACAAAATTTCCCCGTTTCATTGACGGGTTGACTGAAATCTTTTAAGATCGACGTCTTAAAGCTTCCTTAGGATTATATTTGAACTGAAAGCTGGGCACTAGGTTATAGTAGGTTAAAATCTTCGTCCGGGTTTAAAATTGCACTCGGACCTCCCTTAGTCCTGTAGGTGGCCAGGATTTTCCATAAGTACTGTATCCTTTCATTAAAATGCAGGCCTATCTTTGATAGTATCGAAAGTTTGCCCTTTGAAATGCGGATAGGAAACGGGTTAGTCGTCGTGTGCTCCTAATTCTCTCAACTGCATTCGATGCAATAATATTATGCATGATGGAATAAATACGATCGAAGAGATCATTTCGAACAGCGCAAGATCGCGCAATCTTGATCCACTGTTGTTTTTTCCTCATGGAAAGCAAAAAATCAATATTTTCTTTATGACAAAGGATTAGACGTTTTCAAGGCGCCACGCGTTTTCCGAAGCACAAGTTGCGATAATCAAGGTTTATAGGCTTTCGTGTTTTCCTCGATCATCAACTTTTTCAGCTTGTTGTTTGATGAGGGATTGGATCTTCTCAATTAAAGAGGAATTTTTTTTTATCCTTTAAGAGATAAAAAGTGATATCATTCATTGGCCATGCAGTTTCTGTTTCGAATTTTAATCACCTCTCTTTCCAGAAATTATTTCAATTTTCTCACTATTTTTCGGAAGAAATGAAAATTTTGAAGTGAATAACGAAAAGGGAAAACACTACGAGGTTGAGGTTGATTGGTACCCACATTTTTAGTTGAAGGAACGTGTATGGTCACCAAGTATATTTTTTCCTTGATTCAATGAAATAAAAAGTTAGAAAAATCAGATTGCTGCAATGAACACGGACATGAATAAACTAAAGTCAGAAGGCACGTGTGGTGAATGTTTAAAAAAAAGGAATTATTTTTTGTGGAATCTTCCTTGAAATCAATTCGAAGCAATCTGAGCAGTTTGACGTTTCGACGACATTGTTTTTATAATGTATTCTTCATAATTGTGAATAAACTGTGTTTATTGGAACATTTCAGCTACCGGGTTTGCTTTTATTGGGGTTGTGCTGCTTGCATTTTTCAATGAGGTCTGGAAACAATCCATAGATGTTTCCTTGATATATATATATAAATGTAGAATATGGGAATAATCGAGACTTTATCTTTAGCTGATTGGTTCGAATCCAGGGTCAGGGTTGATTTTTTTTGTTCTTTTGTTTATTTGCTTGTTTTAAAGCATTTTTGGTCTCTTCGTTTGATCGATTCTTCGTATATAGTCCGTGATGGAGCGTCGGGACATCATCCTGACGGCTATTCTGGCGACTCTGGCGTTGGTCGTGGCGGCCGTGGTGGTCATTTTCGTCTACTTTTGGTGCCGACGGAACCGACGACTGGAGCGCAAAACCTGCGGCGGCACTGCGTGTCAGCGGGATGCGGAAATGGGCGAGTCTTTGCACGGCGCCTCTTCGTCGTCAGCCGCTGCGCCGACTTTCTCGCCCCTGGTCAAGGTCGACACTTCCCACCTCAACGGCACTCTGAACCTCAAGACCCCGCTTATCTCCACTAAATCCATCGGGTTTGTAAAACATTTTAAACCCACTTTTTTGCAACTGCTGCTTTGAATCACAAGCACGATGCATCATTATGGTTCTCGGACATTTTTCAGTCTTCCCCTATATGGTTTTGTGTGAGACCGAGGTATTTTTATTTTATTTTAATTTTTATTTCTGAAAAGTGTATCGACAGTTTTGTCTACTCAGGTTGAACTGAAAAGATGCGCAATAAATTAAAAGCGCGCACGATACTTCTAAAGAATCCAAACTAACGAGTATGTTTGCAGACGTACGCAGAGAAAAATTCACAATTAATTCGCTTTTGAATGCCATTTTCCTTCATTAAAACATTTTTGCTGTTTATCGATTATTCCTCTCTCTCTCATCTCTTTCTCTCTGCGATGCGTTATGAATATGTCTTTAATTTTATTTTTTATGATATGAAATGAGTCGCTGCAATATGAATCATTAGTTTTCATCTGCCTAATGCCACTGTGTGGGTGATTGGCATGACTTCTGAAGACATTCATTTTTTGCACATTTTCATAGATATCACGCTGAATAGCAAAGTAATCTTTTTTATGCAAGAAGATTTCAAGATTTTTGAAAGAATAATGTAGCTGCGCACCTCCATATTACTTTATGAAAAAGTAATCAATTGCAAGAAGTTTTTTGCATCCTCACTTTTTGAATTGAATTGAACAGCAAGCTTTATTTTCTGCTTTTCAGCATTCACATAAGGTTCAAGCAATGTTCCCACATCCAAACCCTCTCCACCCACATTCATCCAAACACATTCCATCACATCAGAATGAAAAACAAGGAAATAAGCTGTAATGTATATGGATATTAAAAGAAAAGAAAATACATCCAAAAAATTACAGTTGCACAACTGACGTAAATACATGCACTTTCTTCCCTTCCCTGTTAACAAAAACAAAAAAATCAGGAATAAGAATTGTAGCACAAAGGAATCAGTAAGCCCAAATTGAAGCACAAGGTGTTTGGCCTGCTCCCAGAAAAGTTTTAGTTGATTAAACAATTTGGAGAGAGTCTCTGATGAGAAATCATACAAGGTTAACAGATTATCTTGGTCCCTCTAAGATTTTGGAAATAATCTTTTCATTGAATTTCAAGAGTTTCAAATTTTTTTGAAGCTCATTTTTGTAGCTGTGGAATTCTGGTCATACAAAAAGAAGCTGCTCTGGTGATGCATCAACCAATGTATTTATTTATACTGCAGAAATTACACCACTTGGACACTTGAAAATTTGATTAATTTTTTTCACTAAAATGCCATGAATTTGTCAAAAGAGCTATGGTATCATGTACCAAGGGAATGTTAGATGATACAAATAGTAATGGTTCAGATTTGTCACAAGCATGCTCAGCCAGTTATTTACTTGAATCAACAACATTGCTATTATCATTGTAAAATTGAGTAATTAGGACCTTTTCTCTGCCTTTATTGATGCTGTACTTGAGAAACTTGTTTCCCCACCTGTATAATTAATGTGTACGAGTATGTGTAGAAAAAAGACAGGAAACTGTGATGAGATGGAAAACAAAGGGCAAAAGTTACCCAATTGCCATATTTTCATAATCACTGCACGAGAAAAGGCAATGCCAGTCGTCCTCACGAAAGGTAATCACTCGCAAATGAATATGTACATTACAGGATAAGGCGTTTCGGAGTCAGGATGAAAAGCGATTTGACCTTTAGCATAACATCACAATGACTCTCTGACTCTATCATGTGTGAATCTGATGTTTTTCTTACAACCTGCCGATATTCTTTTCTCCCCGTCGCATCAGGAACCAGTTGGGCGTGTGTCGGCCTCAAGGCGGACCCAATACTCCGGGCACACCTGGGTCTGGGATGCCCGGGTCGTCGAAAACCGAGCAGCACCCAGCAGTAAGTCTCCATTTCCTCCATTAATATATCACGCTGGGCTTCTACGTCCGACTCGTTTTTTATTGACGAGCTGCGCAGAAGAGATAATCCCGTCGTCCGCCTTTTCCTTGCCTTGGCTCTCCCACCTCAGAACCAGAAGCAAATTACTGTATTTCGTTTTTTTTTTCTCGGGGCCCCTGCAGCTGCATGGCAACCCGTATATGCTGGGACTCCACATCAGATATTCTCTTTTTTGTGGTAATTGAGAAAAGAAGGGAGAAAAACACTGTTCCGAGGCAAAGAGGGGTGTATAAATGCTGTTCATTCGTCGCCTATAGAACTTGGCTTTATAACATATTTTCTGGATGGTTCCATGAGTGATTTCATTGTTACACTATTACATGGTAACGCACTGGATCACTTATGAGGTTATGACGTGTCTGCCAATGGAACCCCGGTAACTGGGTTTAGTTTAAAATTGTATGCTTCAAGTTCTGTGCTCAGCATGTTGGCTTTTAAAATATTCTAACATCTAGAATTATAGATGATGTCTCGTACCTTGTGACTTCAAAATCTTTTTTTTAAGCCTCATAGGCACGGAGTAAATGTTATTCATGTTTATCCTTCATTACAGGACAATAAATTCGATGATCATCATTTAAATTCAGTCTTATTCATGCAATCTTCTGCACTATAACTAGCACTGAGATTCCCAAAAATGTATGTAATGTGATTTGAACAAGTCTTATTAATTCTCTCTTTGAATATAAGGGTTGTTTACATTTTTTTCTCATCAACAACCTGGTTTTAATTGGATAATTTGAACGTTTCCGTGAGGATTAGATTTCATAAGACCATCTCTTCAGCCTCGAATGGCGCTGGTGAACGAGCCAAGTACTGTCCTTGGACAACTTATTTAATATCTCAACTGTAAAATTGATCAAGTAGATGTCAGATAAGTACTGGTATACCACTGTATTACCTTTCTTGATTGTTTCCTGGGAAGTAATCAAGAATACGTAGTCAAGAAAGGCTTCGCGATTAAACTATTGATCCAAATAATCAATTGGCTTCGTTTTTGTCACATTTCGATTATTTGCGAATCATGCAGAATAATTTTGTTGATTATCGTCAGAACTTTCTGCTTCCTGCGTAATTTTTGGCCGCAAATTTTTTTGATTTTAAAATTTAACGAACGTTTATTTTGAAGATATCTTACAATTTCCCAAAACTTTGGATTGAAACTTCAAAGAAATGTCTCATTTTGTTGGGTTAAAACGTGATCGTGGGTTTTGAATTCAAAATAGGCTATTTTTCTCAACCCCTGAATCTCAGCCAATTTTTTTCCGCCCACTACTTTTACTCCCACGTGCGTTTTTTCTAGGCTTTTCGAACTTTCTCAATGATGAATAGAGCCCAAATCTGCGGGCATGATCGGCTTTTGAGGTTATTTTTGCCTCCCTTTTTTTTTTTTTAACTTCGGCTGTGGTTCAACCCACCTTTCCCATTTCATCCCATGTATGGAAAGTTTTAGACGGCGTTTAAAAAAATATATGTGGGGATACTTCGCGCTCTTTTAAATTTACGGAAGGATGGAAGTTAATCGATGGAAGGGAATTCCGTGCGCAAGATTACATCATGTGCTTTTGGGGATGTGTTTTTTCAGATGGCGTTTTGGCAGGCAAAATCCATGTCACTTCTGGACATGTACGTGGACACGTCAGAGCCGACGGATGCCGTGGGTCAGATTCAATTCAGCCTGGAGTACGACTTCTCTACCTCAACACTGATACTCAAAATTTTCCAGGTTCGTCAATTCTTTATTTTGGAAACTTTTTCTGCGATTCATTTCACAATCCAGTAAATAAGATCGATATTGAAGGAGATGCATTTTTTTCAAGTCTCAGGACAAAACAAAATTAAGCTTTTCGGATAGTGCAATACTGTAATCGAATAAATTAGATCCAACCGCCTCAAAGAGCTTATATGTGCATGATATATTTATCTTTTAAATGATATATCTATAGTTTGTTACCAGATTTTGTTTACTATTTATTGAAACCATCTGAAGATTAATTCGATTGAATTTATTCCATCAATTCAATTCAATCGAATTCAATTGAAGGAATTAAATAAATTATTTTCAATGATATAGCTGTATATAGTTAGCTAGCAGATGTTGTTTACAGTTTTTTGGAACCATCTGAAGATTATTTATGGCCATTTTTCGCTAAAGTAATGTAGGATGTGGGTGGTGTATTGCATGAAAAGATCATGTGAAGGGGTTCTTTAGTGCAGTGGGTACAGATAAGCGAAAATCAATACATTCTTTGTCGGCAAACGAAATTCATGATAGCGTCAAGTAACAATGTTTTTTTCGCCTATGATGAGGTTCAACATAACAAACGAGTCCAAGCTGTTCGAAAAGCGTTTTTTCCTGCTTCGCGTTAAAAATTGATGCATGAATCAATTAGAGATATTTTTTCTATACTTGTTTATGGATCCTCGTACATTTTCTTGTCTTGTAGCATCCTAGTTTTGAAATCTGAACTACATTCAAATTCTATGATTTAGTGGTGATTCCAACTCTGCTTGACTTGCAAAATCGGACGAGTGAAAAGTCTGGGAAGTTACTTGGATCGGTTCATATGCTTATTTTTTATATTTTGAAAATTAGATGGAACAGAGTGAAAGATGGAAATAAAATTTGAAAAAATTTCAGGATAAACACCGTTTTTTGCATTTCAATAAGCGGAAAGAAACCCGTTTTGCCAGGTTTAGGACTTGAACTTTTGTCTGGCTCCTGTAAATTTCTTTTTTTTAAAGTAGAATATTATTTGATGAATGTCCTAGGAATTTCTCTGAGAATGCTCAAAGTTGCCCGCGTATTTTTCTGACGCTTACCTTTTTTATTTTGTGAGGGAATTCAATTTTCTAGTGTTGTCCATATTTCTTTTAGGATACTTTACTAGAGTACAGTAATTACATGTTGATGATGCATACTCCTCGAAATCTTTACTTCATTTGAAATTTACTAGGACGAAAGACCCTGGTAGAAGAGCACAAATTTACGAGTGAAAAGATCGTTTCAATGTTGTGTAACACTGATCGTAAAAAAGTCGATGAGAATCACGAATAAATATTTAATTTGTAACTCATAAGCCTATTGTAAAGTACATTAGAGTATTTTTATAGCAGCAGCCAAACTTGAGAAAACGACTAATCTTTGTTTCCTTTAATTTTCAATTTTGCATATTGCAATCTAAAAGCCGGAGACCGAAATACCTCGGACGTGTGATCGAGTGTTCGAATAAAAAATTTAAATAAAAGAGGCACACGCATCAAATCTGCAAAAAAAGATGCGTGCGATCCGTCACATGCCAAAAATAAATCAGAATTTCTTGCCTTGAAATGCACACACAGTTCCTTGAAAAAATCTTGCAAGTCACGTTCAGCAAGCATTCGAGGTAGTTTATTAGCAGGGGGAAAAACGCACTGTATTAAGCCGTGTACATTTTGCTGATGAATATGAAATATATGTTCATATTAATCAAGAAAAGCATGATGGGTTGACATGTTCGATGATCGAGGCAGAAGAATAAGCAGGAATTTCAATGTGAAACAAAGCAGAATATCCAAAAGTACAGTATGCGTCTATACGTTGCTGTAAAGAAGCAGGAGCTCATTCACATTCCTTTTGTCAAAAACCCATCATGAAATTGCGGAAAACGATCGCTTAGAGGTCGACTCAATATCCCCAGAACAACTTTTAAATCCGGATCATCCGAAATTCGGAAATTTTCTGACTCAGCAGACTTAATCCCTTACGCTCGTGAAATTAATCAGACATTTTTTCTTTCGTAACCCCTCATATGCGAACGCATAATCAAGCCCCCATAATAAGGCAAGACCTCTCTTGGAACAATAAGAAGTGTTTTCATCAAGAAAAGAAGGGCCGAAGTAAAGGAGAAATGAGAGCATACAAAAGACGGCATCTGTATATAATGCAAGAACTTTTCTGCCTGTTTCGCTTGAAGTAGCGTGCACCAAAGAGGAACCAGCGAGGCGGGTTCTGGGATTCTCGCGAAACTTTTCGGCCCGCGCGCTGACGTCAATGCAGAACCCACCGCTGTGTCATTATGGATAATCTTCAACGCACGATGAGTGAGGCTCTAGACCGAAATACCCCGGAAGTGTGATCGAGTGTTTGGTTCAATCATTTGAATAAAACAAGGGGGCCCATCCAATCCGCTGATATAACATCAGTGAGATTTGTCACCTGCAGCTGTAGAGTAATCGAAAATTTAAACCCGGAGGACTCTCTTCGGAAACTGCCCAAGTCTTATTCTATAATTCATATTGATGTACAGTGACATGCAAGGAAACTGGGGAAACTGTGGTTCCTGTATTCGGGTAAGCGTTCATCGTTTCATGGAAACATTCGGAAACCGCAGCTCTTTAAAAGTCGGTTTAATTATCCGCCGAGCATCCTCTTTTTTTCTCTTACATTTTGTTTCATTTGTCATTCTGTCTAATCTACACTTCCCCTCCCAAAGAGGGGG